CTTTTGAACTTTCCTACTGACTGTCTCTCCTGAATACTGGGTCCATCTGTCCTCGTTTCATGACAACTTTAGATGATATTCAGTAGGTTCAGTTCAGGAAAAGCTTAGCATCCTTACCTCTTCCCCTCAACCAACTAGCACTCCCCTTCTCCTTTGGTGCACAGCAAATATTTCTCACCTATTTTATCCTTCACCTTCATCTTGGCTGTGGCAGCCTCTTCATTACTAAAATCTGCCTTTTTGGATGTTTGCATTAAATGCATCAAATGATAATCACTATCAACAAGACACAACAGTTTTTCGGTGGTGAGATATGTTTGTGACAGTAGGGTATCAGCTGCCACTATCTATATTCAAATGACACTATTGGTTCAAAAAGCTGGTAATCTGACATACCGGGCATTTGCCCGGTGGGCAACTCCTCATTTCAGCGTGCGAGGGCCGGCCCTCCTTAAATCATACCGGCCCCAACACTTACTCTCCAGCTGAAGCACCTACCTGTGACAGTTAATAACACAACCTACTCAAGAAGTAATAAAGTGTTAACTACCTAAATGATGCATGCAGTATATATAGCCCTTCCTTGTCATGCACATCCTTGTGACGGTTGGCATATGGTGTTATTTTCTATTTCTTCAAACTGTAAAATCCTTGCAACAAAGTAAATTATAATAAAATTAAAATGCTTTATTTAAACCACACTACGATGTTCTTCTTATATTTGGCAAATTTATGTTGGAATATTTTGCAAAAAATATGTTGTGGTGCATGATGGGGTTTTGCAACTAAAGGCTCACATTTCCTGTCTTACGTGCATTGTTGCCAGGTTGGGATGTTTCTCAATTTGACAGTTTAGGATGGCCGTCTATTGGTAAAAAAATTTTTTCTTTAGATTTATGGCCTAAGAGATCAATAGACTTTCGTTAAAATCGGGCGAGATTTCGTATTTGCCTATACATTGTATTGTTTTATGTTGGTGTTTTTACAACACTCAGGCTTACGTTGTACACCTAGTATGTGTTAGTGGGTGTCTGGCTGGCTTCGTGCAAGTATGGACGTTACGCAGCAGCAGTCACTGTTGCGTCCCTGTTAATAACCAAAGCCAGTAAAACCACATTATAGAAGTCTTGGTGATGGTTGTCGTGTGATGCTTAAATCCACACACTACACAATGCAAATCCAAAATGTTTCACATTTAAGGCCCGATATATTTAAAGTTACTTAAAGGAATCCTGAAGATGAGGAAACATCTAACTGGCTTAGTTGCCATCCCAGTCTAGAGATAATGTCAAAATAAGTAATGGAATTACAATTATCTTTCAAGCATGGGAGTGAGACGGTACCCTGATCTTTTAAGAGTTTTACCCCATAAATGTAATCAATTATAAGTAAGATTATAAGAAGATTGTGAATATATTACATAACTAAAACTAGAAGTTACAGCTAAATAATAGATCATTCAATTTGAGGGTAAAACCAATTAATTATTCTTAGTTGAATGATTATAACTTTAATTTGCTTCTTCACCAGTTAGTCTTTTACATAAAGGTCTGACTCCTGTACCAGCTGTTTAGAACCAGTGTCTTCACCAATTTATTCATTTAGACTATGGCTATCAGCAGTTATTTATTATCAACATAAGAAATCTGTTATTAATAAACAACCAAAGAAATCTGTCTCTGCTCATTCATTTATTTTTATTTTTTTTATTTGTCTCTGCTCATTCAGGTTTTACACAATGGAGGGCGAATCTGACCTTAGTGATAAGCCGTTCACTGCATAAAATTACCACAAGGAATTACGGGTTAAAATACATGTGTGATTATTAGCTTAAATACTTTATTAGCTATTAATCACACA